CTAGATTAAAATAGGATGGTTTAAGACACTTGCAGTAATTTGCTTGTAGTGTCCCTGTTCATTTCCCACCGATTTGTTCACTTGGCCATGTCCTTAATTCCAAAAAAAAATCCCACCAATTTTTTTTTTGCAAAACATTGCACTTGCAAGCAATAGCAAGTTTGTGAAATATTGCTAGAACAACTTGTACCACACCATCTGCTACTTGGGGAGAACTGAGAAGTTAGAGATATGTCTGGGCTTTGAAATTTGATTTTTAAGTTGATTCTGAGTAAAAAAATTTTGAGGTAACTTCATTTCAGTCTTACCTTCTTCAGACTCTGTTCCCTGCCTATGTGAAAAAAATTAGATCAGTAGTCAGTATTATATCGTCCCTTCCAGTTGGTAGCCTCCTCTCTTTTGCAAAATTCATTATACAAAAATCCCAGCTTAACACAAGGTATAAAAATCAATATTTAATGCAATGGATCTGCAGGAATAATTTAGACATCATGGAGAAGGATGCAATAGAGAACACGCCTACAAATTCATGTTCTACAAGGGATGTTCCCCTAGACACTCAGCTGAACTATCCTTTATTCCCCAAATAATTAGTTAAGAGTTATTTATATATTGTGGTCCCACAAGATTTCTGATTTACAGTACAAAAAGCCAGGCACTGAATACAGTGATTATATTCCATCTGCACAGGGCATTTACTGACAGGAAAGTCTGTGGGCAAGTAGCTCTGGCCTGAGCTTGCTGCATTTCACTGGGATGAAGAATAAAGAACATTTTAGGCAGCCCACAAAGTGCAGTTGTTAAACTGACCCTATTTTCTCTCCTTCTTTCCATTTTCCTGCATCCAGCTTTTCAGTTTCAGAATTTCAAAGGGACAGTGTTATTTATGCTTCTTCCTATTTTAGAATGTTTTTATCATGTGTCATAGCACTCTGACTGCCTTAGGGGAGCTTTAATGATAATTTTATTTTTAAAAGTATAGGCTTATCTAGTCTGACCTTGATGCACATAATAAAAGGTTGCTAAACTCCTCCTCTAGAAAACAAAACAGGGAACAAATGTCCTGTGCCTGCTGGATCAAAAGCTCAAGTGTGGCAGAGCCTTCCACTACCCCAAAATATATCACCAAGGCAACTGTAGCAGTATTGCAAACAGGTATTGCAAAGGCTTCCCAGCCAGGATTTAAATAATCTGATTTTCCTGCAGTATGTGCTCTACAACACTCAGCAAGTCTTTTTGGAGATGAAAAGCATGCTAACACCATTCCAAAGAGTATCTTGGTAGAGTAGAACATTATCAGCGCTCTTCTGAAAGAAAATTACAAGTGTCACTGTTCAAAGGTCAAAGCAGCTCAGTAGAGTCCGTGCAGCTTGGAAGTTGTTGGTTGTTGTTGCTTGTTTCCCTTTCCTCAAACAAATTTCTGAAAGGATAAGGAGATAACTGACTTCCCTCTTCACTCTCCTGTGCCTTCTCCAGAAGGGAAAGCTCACTCTGTAGTGCAAGCACTTCTTGTCTTTGCTGGTTGCACTGATCTGTAAGAATTTGGTTCTAAGTACTGCTCACTGCAGCTCTTCCCTCTGGACTTGTGGCACTCATGAATTCCAGTGGAGTGCACGTGGAAACACCAGTGTTTGAACAATCCTCGTGTTCACACTCACCCTTTCTACTACACCAACAGCAACCAGCATGCTTACAATCCACAGCCTGCTTCTGTGAGTCACTGACAACATGCCAGCAATGCTCACAAACGGGTGTTTTAAAGGGCTAACTGCAGAAGATTGCAAATTCCATTATTATCTTCTTGCATCCTGGAGAACTCCATAACTAATGGAATCACATGAGGGTATCAGCTTGCTTAGGACTTTTCTGCTCAATGTCACACACAGAACTCAATACCACAGTGAGCTGAAAGCCCCAGCAGCCCAGGTGTCTGTTCTCACGATGGAATAGTGGGGTGCCACATTGCAGATCCCTTGCTCTTTCCAGAAAACATCCTCAAATTCTTTGTTCCAAGTGCCTCTCCTGTAGAGCTTCTGCCACACAAACCATAACCCAGCAAATAATCATGGGACAGACTGGCTCTACTCAATCTCTTGATTTTCAAGGACATCTATGGTTCAAGTCAGCTGGGTGAAAATGCTTGTCTCAGATTTCCAGTAGCTTAGCAAAGAGGGTTTTACACTTCATCTATTTGAGTCAAACTGCTCTTCAAAATCCTGTAGCAAAACAGGTCTGAGGCTGAAAACATTGGTTATTTCCACCCTTTTCATAAACAATCCAGAAGAAGCAACTCCTCAAAATGAACCTTGGCAGGAGCACTCAGCAAGGTTTGCTGCTGGCACAATGTGGTAGGAAAGCTGCCAACACAAGGTAGGGATTTATAAACAGGTTGTCTTCTTCACATCCATGACTGCATCAAGGAAGGGAGAAAATCCAGCCTCATCCTGTGACTGGCTGCTTTAGCCACTGGTCCAAGAGTGCTAACCCACAATCCTGCGCTTTTGCCATCACTTTCCATACACTGTGAATACATGTCCCAGAAACAGGATGGAAGGTGGAGTTCAGAAGGAAATTACCAGAAAAGAGGCATCTGGATCAAGTAACACCACCAGCAACCAGAGCATCTCCGCAGCAGAAGCATATGACTCACTTAAAGAAAACCTGGCTTGCTGCTGGCTAAGTAAAACAGGAGAGCAAGGTCATTAAATGAAAAATAAGAATACAAGATGATAAAAAATTCCCTTAGACAAGGAGAGTCAGGATCACAGGAAACAGTTTCTCTGACAAAGGAAGTGAACTCCAGATTTAGGAACATTATATGCATTTTAGTTTTTGCCCAAGACAAATATTTAAAAAGGTACCCAACTTTATCAGCATTTGCTACAGATTATTAATACTGACTTGTTAACTCATTCCTAGTAAAATGTGAATGGAATCAGGAAACATTTTAACACAGCTGAGGCATTCACCAAGATGGAAGAGAAGTTTGAAACCTGCTCCGAAACTCTCAAAACCTGGGTTGCCAAAAAGTCCCACCCCTTCTACATAATCTAACAGAATAAAAAGCTGTTTCTTGTTTTTAAGACACACCTTCCTTTACAGTCTACAAGGAAAATAACAAAAAGAATCCTAAGTAAAGACCCTAAGTAAAGCTACATCCATTACCTTAGCACTGAAGCAGATAACCTAAGCAATATAAATAGTAGTGAGATTATTCTGATAGATACCATCGCTCTTATCCCAGAGCAATGTTCTTTTAATGTGGCACTGAACAGTTTTATTCAGTGTGTTGGCCTTCCAGGCTCATTCTTGTTTCTCATTCTATGGAAGACAGAGCAGAAGGGCTGGCAGGGCACATAATTTGTCTTCTTGGTGCGCATGCATGCTTCAGAAAGCTTTTCCTCTCCATTTCCCTGCCACTACATGTAAATAATTCTCCCTACTGTCTATCTTTAAAATTTAGTAGGGTTTGGGGAGGAGCTAGAAGGAATCATTCAGGATGCTGAACTAAATTACTACCAAAGCATGCAGCAACAACAAAAAGAAGCGCTTGAGTCAGTGTCAACTGTGTTATTGGGAAGTCACTACACATCCCCACATGCTGTAATGCACTTCCCCAAATGTCCTTTCTGTCCTTGCCTTGTAGGAGCAGGAACCAAAGAGTCATCCTGGCCAAAGCATGAGAAGACAGTTTGACATCAGCCGGAGTGTACACCGCAGCCTCTACAGCATTCTTGCCCTGCTACCAAAAACTCAGACACACCCCACTGAAAGAAGTGGGGTATGTGCATGACTTCTGAGATGTCCTCAACACTGTGAGTGTGCAGTCTGCGATAGCAATGTTTTAGCCAAAGTGCCTTTTAACGTACAAAGATACAAAGAGTAAAACGTGAAGTTGCAATAAAATAACTCTTAGTTTAACTGTGGGTCAGGCACTTGGCAAGCATGTGCTGTTTTGGTTTTAAAGCTGATACAGCTCCCTGAACTCAAAAGCTGTGATAACACTGAGATTTTTAAGAACCAGATTTAGTGGAGTGCTCTTGTTTTGATAGATACTTACATGTCAGCAGTCACAGAAGATGATATTTACTTTTAGACTGCTGGTTGCACGTTCCTTAATCTTTTTGCTTGAGCTCACTCTATTGAGCAAAAGAAAACGTGTATTGTCAGAAGCAGCCTTGCTTTATAAACACTGCCAACTCTCTCTCCGCTTAAAGCCAAGCCAGCCAAGCTCTCCAGAGCTGATTCAGGTCTTTAAAATTTGAGATGCATCCGCATTGAGATGCATCTACTCTCAACATGCTTGTCAAGGCAGACAGGTTTCAGTTGATCTTTCCTTCCAAAACTTGGCAACATCTTAACATAATGCATAAATAAGTATATATATATATATATTTAAAAAATAATAATAATAAACATGGTTACAAAGGAGATTTGAAGGTGTGTGGGTCCTTCTAAGAGAGGTTACAGAAACGTGTACGTGAAACATCTCCGGTCTCGGTTTATAGCAGCAATAGAAGTGGACAGGTAGAAACTTCAACCTAGAATCAGATGGCAGCTGTAATACCCCAGTCAAAACGAAATTGCTCGCTCTGTCAGGACCTAGACAGTCCCACAGATGTACAACGGCAAGTCACAAACGCCTCGGCAACCAGTCGGACAAGGCACATGCTACCTTTACCTTTGTAAACAAAACCAGAGCTCGGAATCGCTGCGGTGACAGCGAACGAACCCCGCAGGTCCCGATTCCCGGCGGCGCCACCTCGCTCCCGCTGGGGCTGGTGGGCAGTCCCGATCCCCAACTCCAGCGGGTGGCGGGGGGAAGCTCCTCCGAAGCCGAGCATCCCCCGGGACGTGGCGGCCGGGGCGAGCATCCCCCGGGACGTGGCTGCCCCGCTCCCCCCGCCTGCCTCTCCCCTCCCCCAGTAAACCCACCACAACAAAAGAGGGAGGGGAGGAAGGCCGATCGCGCCCCTTTCCCCCTCGCCCCGGCCGCTCACCGTGCTGGGTGAAGACATTGAATCCTCCCTCTGCGGAGCGCCCGGCCGCCTCCCGCCGGCGGCCCGCCGGCCTGGCCGCGCTGCTCCCCCGCAGACCCCGCGGCTGCTGCTGCTGCTGCGGCGGCGGCTGGTGCTGGAGCCCCGCGCCCGGCTCCCCGACGCGGCCCACCTGCTGCCCCATGGCGGGCCGCGCTCACATCCCGCCGCTCCCGCCGCTGCCGGCCCGGCAGGCGCGTCCCGCTTCTCCCGAGGCCGGTCCCGGCGGCTCCCGCGGAGCTCCGGGCTGGGGCTCACGGGCTCGCCCCCGCAGCCCCCGCCGCCATCTTAAACCACAGAGCGCCGGCGGAGCGGGGACGGAGCGGCTCCCGCAGCCGCCTCCGGTCCGCCCAGGGAGGGGAGGGAGCGAGGGAGGAAAGGAGGGAGGGAAGAAGGGAAGCTGGGATAGAGGGAGGGCGGCTGCCCCCCCAGCCCAGACCGCCCTCCCGCGGCAGAATCCCAGGATTGTTTGGGTTGGAAGGGAGCTCTGTGGATCAGCCAGGCCCAAGGCAGGGTCACCTGGAGCAGGTGACAGGAACACGTACGTTCAGGCGGGTTTTGAATTTCTCCAGAGAGGGAGAGTCCACGCCCTCCCTGGGTAGCCTGTTCTAGTGCTCTGCCACCCTCAACGTAAAGGAGTTCTTATCGTGCTGAGGTGGAATTTCTTGTGCTTTAGTTTATGGCCACTGCTCCTTCTCGTGTCTCTGGGCACCACTAAAGAGTCTGGCACCATCTCTTGGCACTGCCACAGGAAGGCACATTAGAGGGGACCAGCACGCGAAAGAATGCACATGGACACGGGCTGAGGGGCAACAGCCACCCGGGTGACTCGCCAGGTCACACCCCAGGAGAGGCCTCCCATCTTGGCCATGAGGGCAGCCCAGGAGAATCACAGAATCTCCTCAGACGGAAAGAACCTCTTAAGTCCATCTCTTGGCCCTGCACAGGACAGCCCCAAGAACCAAACCTGAGACTGTCATCCAAAATACTTCTTGAACTTTGTCAAGCAATGGCCGTGGCCTCAAGGCTGCCCCAGCCCGAGCAACACTGTCCCTTTAGGCTACAGCCGGGCTGGTTTGCCTACAAAGCTGAGCAGGCATGAGCATAAAGCCAGGGCTGTGTGCCCAGCAGTGGAAGGGAGCCACGATGGGCTTGTCCTAAGCTGTGCACAAGGAGATTGTTGTAGCCAGGTGAGGATTGGTCTCTTCTCCCCAGCAACAGGGCAAGAAGACACAGCCTTGAAGCTGTGCCAGGGGAAGGCCAGGTTGGACATTAGGATTCATTTCTTCACAGAAAGGGTGATTAGACATTGGAATGAACCGCCCAAGGAGGTGGTGGAGTCACTGTTGGAAGGTGTTTATGGAAAGACTGGATGTGGCACTCACCACTCACTGGTTGACATGGTGGTGTCAGGTCAGAGGTTGAACTCGATGAGCTCAGGGGTCTTCTCCCACCTAATTGATTCTCTGATCTCCGTGGGTGGCCAGGCTTCGGGTTGATTCCTTGGGCTCCCATCTAGACTTGTCTTGGCCAAGGAGGAAAGTACTGCTGTGTGAATAACATCAGGAGTGGTTGGCAGCAGTATCTTGTTGTTGAGTGAACATACAATTCTGTAACTAATTAGTAAACCAACTTTTTTCGCCTTTTGTAATATTAGCATAAGGTGCTCCAATCAAAGCAGAAGGCAGGAGGTTTTGTCCTGAAAGATAATGGTGCTCATCACAGTTTAGAGGAGCTGGGCAGTTGGAATTTTTTTTTCTCTCCATGCTAGCAACTATTTCAGCAATGTCTTGGTAATGTTGTTTCATCCTGGATGAGCCACAGTGCCGCTCCCCTCAGATGCCTTTACCACTGAGAACTGATGTGACAGTGACAAATTGGCTTGGTAACACTCAGAGCCAACCAGCTTCCAACCTTTGTCACTGTCCTGTGGTGGGAAGGTGAGGAGACATTTCTCTCAGAGCTTTGTGAAAGCCAGCTTTCAGTGACAGGAATCTAAACTCATGTTCTACCTTCCAGGGAAATTGCTAAATTAATGGACTAAGAACATTTGGGAGATCAGGACTTCCAAACAGACCTGCTAATAACACACAACTAAACAGTTCTTAAAATAGTGCTGGGAACATGCAGGGTGCAGCACGGGGTACATGGTGCCAAGTCCAGGACCTTGTACGGACATGGTTATGTGGGTATGAGCAGAGGGTGTTCCTACAGAGTGGGCAGTCTCGGGCAGAACCAGCCCATGGTAAACTCTGCAGTGGAGCTATTTCCTGGTCTCATTCCAGCTAGAATTTGCAGGATTTGGCATTTATAAATGGTTTGCCTTGTAAACAAAATATATGTTCTCTGGAGACTGTAGAGACAACAAACACAGAAATCCCTCGTGCCATTTGCAGTTGCCACGTAGCATAGAGCCACTCTTTAAAAATCAACAGAAATACTGTTTTTCTTTCCTAATGCTTTTTACTTGCTGATCATGAAGAACTATCCAGAGGAAGGTTATTAGTATTTTAAAAGAAGATACAAGTGCCAAGAGACTGTTATATGCAAGTGCACCAAGGAGAATTGGATTTAAGCAGTGTTCTTATTCCCCAGATCTCATGAAATCCCTCATTTTCTCTCCCAGTACCTTCTGCACATAGAACACCTTGCTGTGGGTTACATCAATGCCCAACTGCAGGAAACTTGTCTGACACACAAAACCATCTTTTCTGGGGTTGGGGTCAGACAGAGCCTTTTTAAGAAGGCCCGTTGCAAGGAGAAGATGGTAGCAGCATGGAGGTTTTGCTGCTGTATAATAGTTTTTAAAGATCACACTGTACCCTGTAGAAAAAGCAAACCCAGAGCTCCAGCCAATTTTTGATGTGTGCTAAACAAGCTAGACCCTCAGACTGTGCCCCACTGTAGCAGCAGTCCTAGTAAAATATATGTATTGTATAAGTGGCCTTGCCCCAGTCCTAGTTGTTCTAAATGGGCTGCAGCTGTGATGTCCTTAAATGGGTGGCAGCTGTGGCTAATGAAGATAACTGGGATAAAAGGGAGTGGGTTGGCCAGTCAGGGAGAGCTTTGGAGGAGTCCTGATGGAGAAGCAGGGACAACATTGCTGTGAAGAGCTGCTTGTGAGAAAACCACCCAGAAGGTATGGGACTCTAGAAATGTGATAACAACAAGATAATAACAATACCCCGCTTGGTCCACTAGTCCCCTCATCGACTTTGTCATATAAACAGGGGATGCCCTGGTTGGTGACAGCTCTTCTGGTCCCTGCTAGAAGAGCAATGGGGATATAAACAAGAAACTCCCCAAGCTGAAAATGACTCCATGCTGCTGAATTACTGATGACACTGAGCCACACCATTCCTTGTTGCTAAAATGGAGGCTAAAATAAGTATTTACTTCACAGAGTGTCATGGTTATTAACCATGCAAAGCCAATAGATAAAACCTGCACCAATGCTATCTATTTTTATCAGCCTCATGAAGCATCAGGAACAGGTTGTTTTTCAAGGGTAATTTCTTGTGAAGAGGTCTGGCACCATGTGTTAATGAGACATCAGTAACAGTTACTGTCCTGGTGATTTTGGGTTTCCAGTCAATCTGCCATTCATGAGCTGTTCAAGTAAGGGGTAAAAAGGACCAAGGCAGCACTGAGGTTACAGTCATGTGCCTGAGAAGAAATGTGATATTTCTAGAAACACTTCTGAACTGACTTTAAATATTAATGGTATAACCATTTCTTAAAGCTTCTTATAAGCACTGACAGTGCATTTTCTCCTCATCCACAGTCTGCTCCAAAAATCACACACTCAAAAAATTTGCTGGCTGAGCAGTCTTACGTCATACTGTGCATGACAGTCTAACTGTCCTCTGCCTGAAGTGTGGGTTCTGTGCCAGAAGGAGCCTGTGGACAAATTGGAGACTCCTGAGCCTGAGTGTTAACTGGGCAGCTTCTATTTGGAACTTAGGAAAAATTAGCTATGAAGGATGCTGGTGGCAGCTTAAAAATTAATTCCAGCAGTAATCTTTGCTCTTCTTCCTGATCATATACCTTCTGTATACCAAAGCTGTACAGAGAAACAGATGTGTGTGAAATATTTGATGGGTATTTAAGATGCAGATGTATTAGTTAAGGTATTTGCCAAGTGAGTAGAACAGCAGAAGCCTGATTGAGGGATATTTGTGTACATCAGGATTTTTGTGCCTTTATTCAGTGCCAGAACAAGCTGTGGAGCTCAGAACAGCTCCTCTGGGCTGTCTGCAAGGCAATGGGTACTGCCCACCACACGGCCCAGGGCAGTGCTGCTCTGTGTCCCTCTACCCCTCCAGGCTGCACCCAACTGACTCCAGGCAGCCACTTGGCCTCTGGGGTTCAGCCACCATGGGGTTCTGGAGAAAGGCTTTAAAACCAAAAAGAGAGATTTAAGAATCTGATAAAGGCTCTGGGACACAAGGTTAATTACTCTTCAATAAATGTTGAAAGCTTGGAAGTGCTGAGTTGTATCAAAGGAGGGTATTGTTTCTTGGTGTAACCTGTTCAACCACTCAGCCTTTCATCTCTGACTGACAGCTCTTAAAATGTCTGCCCAGATCTGTCCTGGCACAACAGATAGTGTTTCAGTGTTGTCTTAAAAGTTATTTTGAATCACTACTATGATTTAAACTAGCATTTATGTACTGTGCATGCAGGACAGCTTGGGGTACTCTCATGCCTGTTCAGTGAGAGTCTATGAAGATAAAAGCTTTCTGGGGAAGTTTTTGCCCAACAGTACAGAAGGGTTCACGTGCAGCCCTTGGCAGATGAAATTTCCTCTGTCAGTAACTCTCTTCCACCCTAGATAAAAAAACCTACACATACACACTCCTACAAATGTGTATCCCACCACCCAAATCATCCTCCTCCTCTGTGGAAGCAGCCTTTTGTTCTGTCTTTTCTGCTGCTTCAGCATTGTCTTCATTCAGACCATTCTTCTGACACTGCCACAAGTCTAAACATTGATGCCAGCCAGGAGAGCCAGCAAAGGAAGGGCTCCATGCATAGGGGGAAAGGGACTGGGCACACAGTGTTGTAGTGGAAAAGATGAGTGTGTAGAGACAGCCAGCTCACCACAGCATCTCAGGCATCCCCATTCTTCTTTTATTTGGCCCT